GGGAGGGGGGACTGAGGTTCGTGAGGAAGGTGACTCCGTCTGAGGTTGCGGGACAGGTGCAAGGCCCACACAGCTCACCATATCTGTGAACCGGGATGAGCAGGGTTGGGAAAGGGAGGAATGCATTAACACACCATGAGAGACAGAGAGATGGACAACATGTGAAGAGATGAAAAGGCAGTAACATCAGACAAATAACAAGATGCATGGGGCAGTGGTTTCTGACTGAACAGGATATGCATCAATAACAAGGGTCAACGGTCAACACTTGGGCCAACAGACGGTACACGAACAGGGTCCAACATTAAAAGTGCATGTTTTCCCTGTTAAACACCTAAGGAAATGAGTAATACTGTACACCATGTACATTCACATTATAATTTTAACAGTAGCCTAGAAAAAGTTTTAATAGACATGGAGGGGGTCGACTCATGGGGCCTGACATATTAATATCATACAGTATGACTACCTGAATACTATTCACTTTATCTTAATAAATCTTTACAATTCACTTTATCTTAACAACTAACTTAATAACCCTGTTACTAGAAACTGACAGCTTAAAAATGACTATTATTAAATGACTTTATTTAGTACTTTAATCAATTGAATATTATTTTATTATATATTATTATATTTACTATTTAATACAACTTATTAAATTAATAATTAGAATAATTATCATCAAGCTAAATGATTTAATAAGTTACTAAATTTAAATACTAGATTATTCATTAAATCATTAAAATGAATAACTAATTATTACAAAGTGATTACTTTAATAACAAACCATATTTTGATCATGAAGTTGATTAAAATATATGAATAATTTATTATTATTAAATTAAGTTACATTAATACTTTAAAGTATAAAAATGATTCTAAAAATATATATGAATTATTACAAACAATTACAAACTAATAAATTTTTTAGCACATTATTTTAATTATTAAATTACTTTGTTTAATATGTAATTGAATTATGAAGATTATTAATAATTATAAAAAATTATTTAATCAATAAAAATGGATAACTATTATTACTATTATTAATTATTAAATAACTATTTCAGTTAACTAATACGTATTAATTCATTATTAAAAAAGGAATTACTTAAGTGACAAAAACAATAAAACGACAATGCTCTAGCCAAAAACATTCATGGACCCTGTGCATGAGCGTCTGTGCTTAGGTCTGCAGGGGGCGCTATACTCACTCTGCATGATGGGGGTCTGTGGAGGGGATTGTGTGGAGTGGGCAGCTGCTTCGCTATCAGGCACAGCCGAGGGTCCCGAGCCCCTACGGGCGCAGCCCAAGATATCGGTCAGCTTGGTGGCTGTTTACACATGAAGGTAATGATGACCGATGGAAGGTGGGAGCAAGATGGCAGAGACTCATCCAAACTCAAGTGCATGCCATTCCACTTGCTGTCTCAGGGGGGCAGCGCACACAACAACAGCAGGGAGTTGATCAGCAAGAGAAAGTGGGTTGTTTTTAGATTAGCTTGTTAGCTCTTTTTATATAATTCGCCTCAAGAAGAGCAAAACTCATACGAAGCTGGTTATTTTTCAGGGATTTGCTGAAGTTAGATGCCGTGCAATCCAGCCAGGCCAAACCAAACGAGTGCAGACCAGACTTACAGAAGATGGCGGGGACGGAGCCCGGAGGTGATTGGCTGACTTCAGCGGGGGCTTTTACTGAACTGCTATCTAGGCTTTTCCCTATTGAGCGGGAAAGGAAGAGGTGGGAAGAGATTAGAAAGATGAGACTGAGAAAGGAGGACGTGCAAAGATGGAACACGGCACACCATTTAACCTACAATTGAGGCTGAGCCATTTACATGGAAGGGTGGCAAATCGTCCCGCCCACTTCTGAACACGACATTTCCACACAACGAACCTATATTTACCCGTGTGAATAAAACACACATACGCAAAGCCTTAGCCCACATCTCTCACATTTTCAGTGTTCCCACAGATAAAAATACACCGAAGGTGTCCTGAAATGCACGTCCCAGGAGAGCAGAATTAAGCCAACACTTCTTAAGAAACGTACAAACTCAGAGGAAGTCAAAAGGCCACAACAATGTCACAACAATAGCAGATGCAAATTACATTTCGGAAAAATTAAAAGCTTCAGATTTTTCATATTCAAGGCTTCAAAAACTGATTTATTAAAGTTCAAAGACGAGGCAATGTGTGCAAATCTGTGACTGCAGCAAATAGCTTTAACTTTAAAGTTACATGTAAAAACAAATTTAATTTGAATTATATAAATAAATAACAATTGAAAATAATACAAATATTTATTTAATAAATAAAATTAATAATAAAGTAATTTATTTTAAATTAGTGAGTTTTTTTTTTTAAATATTACTATTATTTTTCAAAAAGCAATAAGCCATGTGAGGCTTTGCAATACAATTTTATCATGATTAATGGGGTTTAGGTATAACGAAGCAGAGCAACTTCCATTATGGGATATACACTACTGTTCAAAAGTTTGGTGTTGGTAAGATTTTTAATGTTGTTCTCTTTTGCGCTTATATTTTGAAATATTATTACCATTTAAAATAGCAGTTTTCCAGTTGAATATATTTTAAAATGTAATTTATTCCTGTGATGCAAAGCTGAATTTTCAGCATCATTACTCCAGTCTTCAGTGTCACATGATCCTTCAGAAATCAATCTAATATGCTGATTTGCTGCTTAAGTAACATTTCTGATTATTATCAATGCTGAAAACATAATATTTTTGAAATCTTAATCATTTTGTGGAAACTGATAGATTTTCTTTAAGATGAATAAAAAGTTCAAAATAACTAATCCTTTGTAATCTTATAAATTATTTTTCAGTCACTTCTGATCAATTTAATGCATCCTTGCTGAATAAAAGCATTAATTTCTTTTAAAAACACCTTACTGACCTCAAACATTTGAACAATACTGTATTTCTGAGTGAAACAGGAGGTTGAAGAAGAAAAAAATGCATATGACCTGATTGTATCCATCAGGAACTGACTGGATTGTGAAAAGTGTCTTTATAGAGCTTGGTGATGTTTTCAGAAATGCAAAGTCCTTGGTAAAAATCACATTGTTTCAATGAAATACAACAAAAACAGATGCCTCTCACCTTTGACGTCTTCATCCTCAATGGTGGTGTTGCTGCTGTCTGAAGATTCCTGCAGGACAGACAAAAGCAATCAGTGTCCGACCTCACACCAACAAAACATTTACTCAACATCAACTAACTCCAATAAAGCACAACCAGCACTACCACTGAGATGAATGGAATAATCACTACCACAAATGCAGTCATACATATTACACTTGTAGTGCCAACAGCAGTGTAGACAGTCGAGAAGGTTTAATCTCAGGCTCAGCCACCTGGTGAGGCTGTAACACAGCCTTCATTTCAATGAAACCCAGCTCCTGTGTTCTGCATCTCCACGTCTCTTTCCCAGATGGCAGCATTGAGAACGCAGCTCTGCATATGCATGTAACCACCCCCACACACACACACACACAAACGCATTTAATAGCTCGCATTTAGCTTCTGACGTATTACAAATGCAAATGACTGAGCCCCCGTCTGCTCGTATTTCTCTCGATGGGTTCCTGTGGGCGAGTTATCGACCCACCGCAGGCACCTTGAGGGTCTGAGCCGCAGGCAAACGGATTGTCAGACTTCAGCCAGCTGTGGCCATGCATATGGGACGGGAGGCCAGAGAGGGAGAGGAGCTTTATGGAGAGAGGATAGGAAACTTTTTTGCTAACAATGAGAAAGTCTGATTGGATGAGTCTGGGCTACGGGTTAACAGCCATGTTATTTTAGTATCAGTAGATACTATTAAAGTTTTTCTTAATATTTTGAATCAGCTTCTATTTTTATTTTAATTTCTGTTAAATTTTAGTAATTTTGTCATTTTTGTAGGCTTTTTTTAAAGGGGTCATATGCTGTTGCTAAAAAAGAACATTATTTTGTGTATTTGGTGTAATGAAATGTGTTTATGCAGTTTAAGATTCAACACACAGCTCTTCACAACATGGTGGCGGCAGCAACAACAGTACTACAGTGAGAATAAAAGTTATGCCTTCTTTCTTTGCGTGAACATTTGGGCGGTGTTATGCAAATCTTCCCACACAGTGATGTAGAAATGTGGGGGCATGTTTAAACGAGGCGTTTTAGGAGGGCGTGGACGAGTCTTAACTTTTATAAAGAATATCTCTTTGGGTTTGAGACTTTAGTCTTTGCAACTTTAGGGATCTTATCTATTCATGAACAGCTTGTAACACTCCAAAGAGAAAAGAAAACTTGAAATCGCATCATATGACCCCTTTAATATATATGTCTAAATAGTTTTTATTGATTCTTATTTCAGTTTTAGTTTAGGTACATTAAGTTAAAACAAATTAAAATGACAAATGCTGCCTTGATAACTACCTGAAATATAGTTTTTTTATATTAAATTTTATTTAATGTAAAGTTTATTTCATTTCAAGTAACAGAAATGTTTCTTAGTGTTTTTGTTTTATTTTAGTTTCATTTTTAGTAAACGATAATAACCCTAATAAAAATGGTTAAATATAATTTTATTTAGCAATGACAATAGCAAAATAATATTTTTAAATTAATAATGACTCTTAATCACACCCTTGAAGTCAAAATGTAATAATAATAATAATAATATAAAAATATAACTATTTGATGGAATTAAAACAACTTTCCTTTTTGGCAGACTTCATGATCCAATCAATTGCCATTTTATACATTTACATTTATGCATTTGGCTGATGATTTAGGGTACACATTTTTTTACCATTTTATTTTTCTCAGACAAGCTATGGTTAGTTTTAAACACAATTGAATGAAAATTATCCACAAATATGGTATTTTTTATCATGTTATGACATAATTCAAGAAAGCAGCAGATAAAATGCTGTGCAATGTCAAAAGTCCTTCCAAACCACATTAGAACAATATCCAATCAATTTTTACCACTTTATAAGCATTTCACAACGCACCAGTTTACATTACTGTTCAAAAGATTGGGGTCAGGAAGTCTTTTTTTTTTTTTAAGAAATAAATACTTTTATTCAGCAAGGATGCATTAAATGATCAAAAGTGACAGTATTATAATGTTATAAAATATTTATATTTCAAATAAATGCTTTTAAAATTTTGCACAAAAATGTTCAGCATTGCAACGGTTTTCAACATTGATAATATTAAGCAAATCAGCATATTAGAATGATTTCTGAAGGATCATGTGACACTGAAGACTAAAGTAACGATGCTGAAAATTCAGCTTTGGATCAAAGGAATAAATTGCAATATATTCAAATAGAAAACAGTTGTTTTAAATTGTAATAATATTTCATTTTTTTTTTTTTTTACAATTAAATGAGCATAAGAAACTTCTTTCAAAAACAAAACAAAAACAAATCTTACCAACCCCAAACTTTTGAAAAGTAATGTGATTTCTTTTATTGTTGTCTAAACTGTTTAATTTGAAAATATGTCATATTACTGAAGTAAAATTTTCCCATGTTGAAGTTCAACTAATTTCTGCTTAAAACCATGTGTGTATTGACTAACAATAGTCAAAAGAACATTCTGTGTCATTGTTTTACCTGAAATAATTAACACTGAACACCGTACTAAACACCACACTCTTACCCGAACACTTTCCCATCCTAATGTGACTGCACGCTCACTCACAAACCCAAAACAACACCCTCGCTCGCTCGCACCACAGAATAAAGAGACTGGCAGCAGACGACAGAAGCAGAGAGAGGAGGAGAGGAAGGTGGAGAATGAAAGAGAAGAGGATGGGGAGGGACGTGCGGAAGATGTACCTTGATCCCATCCACTGGGTTATGGATAACAGTGGTCTGAGGCTCCTAAAGAGAAAGAGAGAGAAGAGGAAGAAGAGGAGACAGCGAGAAGGAGAGGGAAAAAAGAGGAGCAAAATGAGATGGAGGTGAGAGATGGCAAGAATAAAACAAGTGTTAGCAAAAAATGACGAGAGCTGGAGAGAGAGCAGTCTCAGTTAGAACGAGGGAGAGAGAGAGGAAGAAGAAGTGGATGGAGGTTATTAGTCGAAGGTCAAAGCCCAACATCTAAAGCCAGTCCAGAGATGTGAACGCATCTAATCCCAGCTAAAACACCACAAATGTACAACTGTTTAAGAACTTTTGAATACTAAGTGCTTTAATTTAAAAACAAAATGCATAGAAATCACATATTGTTTCAAGGTCAAATAAGCTTGAAGGACTGTGAAATGTGCTTAACAAAATTAGATGATCTCTTTCAGAATATCAACATAGTTCTTATTAACGATGTGTTAACACAACAATGATGCTTTTTAAAGGTGCAGTAGGAGATCTTGGAAAATGCTAACTTTAGCCTGATAGCACTGAAAGCGAACGTCCCACCCTCCCTGCAATCGCCGTCCAAAGCCACGCCCCCTGAACGCATTTACGCTCACAGACCAGAATACCAGAGACAACATTACTTACAGTGGGTACGGATTGAAGGGGGTCTGAATACTTTCCGTACCCACTGTACATCAGCATTACATTGTACAGCGGTTCCCAATTCCAGCCCATGTTCCGAAGTGAAGTAAACTTCAACGGATTTCCCCCGCTCAGGGAGTAGGGAACAATGAACACTGTGTTGGGATCATATCGATCGGAACACAGTTCATGCACATAGCTCACTTCTAACGAGCTGGCGCAAGACTGGATTAACCGCTGGGCTACATCATGTGTCATTCACCGGTGATAAAACTTTAAAAGTACTACAATACCAGGAAGGAAGATCGGGTTGTTGATTTTTGTCTGCCATTCTCACTCTGTCTGCACAGCGTGCGTGAAAGCGCTGATGACGTATCCTGTCTGCACGAACAGGGTGCGCAGAGGTATGCTAATACATACGTTGACAGGCAGGTAGGAAAGCCAATTAAAACGCTTGGACCTAGCATTTTGATTGGACAAACATTTCTTGATCCTATGCCTTCCACAGAATATATAAATACAGACAAATATATTTAGACCACATAACTTAATGACTGCTATCGGGATGTGAAGAGACTTTCAACCAGCATAACAAAAAACGTTTCTGAAGACAATCACCTATTGCACCTTTAAGCTTTTCAAGAGAAGTTTTGCTCATTAATCAATATTAGATGTTGAAGCCAAAGCCAAAGCATCTATAAATGTCCAAAAATGTAACTGGACACTCAAGACACACTTAAAAATATGTCTGAATATCATTGCATTAGAGCAGGGTTCCCAAATTGGGAGTTGATGAAAAGCTAATCAATTAAATAACAAAAATGTAAAATTAAAACAATTCTAAAAATAAAAACAAAATAAATTACATGCTAAAAAGATTATAATATAATATAATAATTTGTTAACCTGCATATTATGTGACTATTAATTTACTTTTTGAGTTTTTTTTTTTTTTTTTTAAGTTATTGAAATATCAACTTTAAGTCTCAGGGTAGATATCAAATAAATATTTTAGATCAGCTGGAAAATAGTAAAAGTAAAGTAAAGTAAAAAAATAAAATAAAATAAAACAAAAAATAATTAAATAATTAAAAAACAGCACAGGCACACTTTAAGCAAAATGTTTTACAAAAAAAACAAAAACAACAACAACTGTTACGTTTGAAATTATGATGTTTTCAGATGCCCTTTTCTTTTTATATTTTGCAGACATTTTAAAATGTGACTCGAGTTGCCAAATGCTTTTTTGGGTCACTGTATCTTTCAAAAAACAATGCAATTGTGAGGCTCTGAATAGTAAAAAAAAAAAAATTTTTTATAAGATATCTGTGTTTTATTTGATGATATTGTACTGATCACATCACACTGGATTTATTAAAATAACAGAAATAATGAAACTAAATGTCAATACATCAGACTTTACAGCATTAGGTTATATAAAAAGAAGCAAAAATGACGTACACACAAACACATATATTTAATGAAACATTATAACGGTCATAATGAGAGTCAAAAATAATTGAAACACAAAGAGCCAACATCTTAGTTTGGTTTAGGACTGTCCAAAAAAAAATTTGAATTTCGAATATTCGTCGAATTTAAAATAAAAATCCACATTCAAATGCAAAAACGTTGCATTCGAATTTTAGGTGTGTGTCAGGCAGCCTTATCAGTGGAGCACGAAATGCGACGACGATGTAAGTGTCATTGCATTTTAATGCTTTTGTTAGTCTATCCAGTTGAACCCACTAGATGCGGCGCTGCTACGTTGTTCATTCAAAATATTGCAGAAAATGAGAACATCAATGCGGAGAAGATGTTGTTTACGTCAAAACCGAAACCAAGCAGTTCACACAGAATGCATATTTATCACATTTTCTAGAGGGACGTCTATCAGCGTTGCACTCGCGTCTCGCACAAGAGAGCCGCATGTTTAGAAAGCCATGGAAAATTAATGCGAGTTCAACTTTTAAAAAAACATGTCTCGAGACTTTACGGCGTTTCTTTCCCCATCCCACTGCATCTCAAGTTTTTAAATGAAGAAAGTACTCTTTGTGATTGGTTTTCGGTCCTTTGTATTAAACTATACATACATGCATGATGCTGTTTTGTTTCTAATTGTTTAAGCAACTTTATTAATTATATAAGGTTTATAAACATTATTTGAAACATTATGCACTTTTTTCAAAGATAGTCATGTTATTTTATTATGCTTTGAAGAAACGTGCATTAGTAATATTTTGCTCGATGCACCCTCTTGTGGCCTCAGGAGAGAAGCCAAAAGCTTTTTTCCCCCAACTGAAATTATGGCTTTTAAATTCGAATATAATTCGAAAATTTAGTTTGTAAAAAATTCGAATTTAGTTTTTTAGCCATTTTGACAGCCCTAGTTTGGTTGTTTTGCCATTGATCCAAACAATGAAAAACACAACGTTCATGCACACACTCTAGCTAACTGACGCTCAAAGCATCAAAATTCTCCAAATCTGGATTATAAATCTCATCGATCATAACATTAACATTGTTTCAATGACAAAGATGAAGATGCACTTGGATTCAAGTCTCTGACGGACACACAGCGTCAACGACAGGTGGCCTGAGACACGCCAGACGCTGACACAGACAGACATGTGTGAGACAGGAGAAGATGGAGCGAGAGAGAACAGAGAGGAACAAGAAGGTAAATACCAGAGCAGGAGGAGGGACGTTTCCTTTGGGACTGGTGACTATGCTGTTTTTGGCACTGTTTGACTGTGGCTGTGCAGAACACAAAACAGTGTTAAAGGGTGTCAGTGGGTGTTTAAGGGCGAGAAAAGAGAGAAATAACAGAGAGAGAGAGAGCAGGGTGATAATGTGAGGATTGTGTTTTATGTTTGAGCTCAACACTGGTTTAAAAACACAACTGAACACACTAGGCTGATGGTCTTGGAGATGCATTGAGTGGCACATCATTTGTTCAAATACATTTGGTTGAATCTCCTGAACCGTTGAAGTACATTTCCATGTCAATGTCACATTTCACCACAGAATTAAAAAGAAAAACAAGAAAGTTTGAGAAAATTAAGCTTTTTTGGGAGACCATTCAAATTATTTGCTTTTTTGACAATTATTTTATGACAATTTAGCACATATGCCCAAATACTTCTGATTATCTTATGTATCTGGATGTTTTCAGTTTTAATATTTTATTATTGTTAAATAATTTATTAATTTAATAATTAATATTATTAAGTAACTCATTCGTTAATTATTCATTTTACAACAGATAAAACAATAGATGGAACGATAGACCAACAGATAGACAAAAAAAAAAAATTTTAAAAATAATTTATGAATTGAATAATTGATCGTTAAATCGTTAAATTGCGAGAAAAAAAGTTGAGACAAAATGTTGAGAATAAACTCATTAAATTACGAGAAAAAAGTTGTTAAATTTCAAGAAAAAAGTCTGAATAAAATGTTGAGAATAAACTCATTGAATTTCGACAAAAAAAAATCGAGAATAAACACACTCGTGTCATGTTCATTTCATCTCGTTGGACGGTGTTATATTATTTTGACTTTTTTCTCAAAATTTAATGTTTATTCTCAACATTTTATTTCGACTTTTTTTCCTCGAAATTTTACGAGTTTTTTCTCGAAATTTAATGAGTTTAATCCCAACATTTTATCTCAACTTTTTTCTCGAAATTTAACTACTTTAATCTTGAGATGGTTTAATTTAAAAAATAAAAAATTATTATTGCTTGGCCCAAATCCTCTTCCGTAAGTAACTGATTAATTAATTAATAATTTTAATAATGGAACAACAAATAGATAGAACAAATATATGGAAAGGTAGACCAAAAGATTGATGGAAAGATAAATTAATAATATTTAATAATTAATTAATTAATTAATTATTAATTTAATTAATATTAGTAATTTAAGTAGCTGATGCATTTATTATTTATTTTAATTAAATATTTTGTTATTTTCAAATAGGGATTATCATTAGATTCTCATTAAACAATTCTATGTACAAATTCTATGTATTCTGTAAAAAAAAACGTAATAATTAATTACCATGGTGTATAAATACTTCATTATTTATATTCTACTGCATTACAATATTTATTAGTTGCTTTTTTTTGCATCAGCATAACTGAAAAATTATGTTGGGAAAATGTGCATAATTGTGATGAATTTTTTTTTACAATGCAATAATATCTTGATAGTTCTAAAAATGTCTTCATTTCTTTAAACAATGTAACCATTTTTTTTTGTTTTTTTTTTTGCCATGAAATGTGGCCTGGGCAAGTTCTTTACACATTTTCTGAGATTCGCTCTTTTAACATGTAACATTTTTGGAAATAATTTTAATGTATCACAAAGCACTGCTGGAAAAGCCAGTTAAAACCAGTTTCTGATAGCTGGTTTTACATGGTTTCTTTGTGGTCCAGGCTGGTCATTTGCTGGTCCAGATGGTTAGTATAAAGTTGACTTGGTCGGTTGTGTTGATAAAGCTGGTTAAAGCTAGTAGTTCACCCTAGACCAACAAAAATACAGCTTTTCCAGCTTAAGATGCTATGTTTTGTTTCCCCAAGCAGGCTGAATAAAAGGAATAAAAAAAAAAAAAAGCAAACAGAATTAAGCAAACAGTTCAGAAAACCTGTGCTTGGTCCATTGTTTTCTTAGAGAAAGTCGCAGTAGGAAAGCAGAACTAGAGGAGAGTCCTTATGGATCCACAGGAAGTACAATCAGAGACAACAGCAAACAGAGACACAGGGAAGCAACAACAAAAAGTCAAACACACAAGACATTCTGTGCCAGTCTAACACATCGACGGTCAACAATGACTCGCTATACAACCCTACAATAACGTCAACCCAAAAACACTACGACCCTCACCTTTGTCTGAGGAGTCATTTAAAGCCATCTGACCCTTTAAATCAACCGCTTGACATTTGAGCAAGAGAAGAATCAATATAGATCATTACAAGAGTAGATTTATTTGACATTGTGCATTAAATGACATAAAAGCCCAACAGGATGAGCAAATGAATGAATGGATAAACAAGAGTGAGAAGAGAAAGGGACGGAGGGATAAAGAGATTAGGATTAAATATCATTCTCACCATGTACTGAACGGTGGAGCTGGATTTCCGTTTCTGGGTGGAAAGGATGGAGGGATGGAATGAGAGTTAAATACATGTTATGATGAAGGCTGAGACGAACATTAATCACACAGAATTGGACAGACGTATGAGAGGCAGGAAGATTGAGAGAAGGTGCGCGTGTGGGTTTTTGGCAAGAAAGTGTGTTTGTCTGGTGGATAAAAGACTTTTGATGTGGTTTAATGTACAGAACAGTCCTTAAGGCCTTCTCTTCTCAGAGATCTTAATACATCATTGTGAACACACACACACACACACACACACACACACACAGAGCTGCTGTTGGGATTGAGTCAGTGCAGGTGCTGACAGGTCTGTTCCTGTATCTCTACAGTTATGAAATTATTTTCAGAGGAAGAAAAAAGTTTAAGGTTTTGTCTATTGTCTAATCAAGTTTAGATAGATGGATAGACAGATATAGAACAGAATGATAAAAAGGATAGAAAGATATAATGACAGATAGACAGAATGATAGAAAGGTAGACCGATAGAATGATAGAACGGCAGAATGACAGAATGATAGAGAGAAGGATAGAAAGATTGAACAATAAAAAGATAGGGATAGATAGACAGATAGAATGATATAAAGACAGAATGCAAGAACAAAATATAGAGAGAATGACTGAATGATAGATAGAACGACAGAAAGATAGAACAACATATAGAGAGAACGACTGAATGATAACTAGATAGAATGATAGACAAAAGACAGACAGATAGAATGATAGATAAAACAATAGAATGATAGAAATATAGAATGATAGATATATAGAGAGAATGATACATTGATAGAAAGATAGAATGATAGAATAAAATAAAGAGAATGACTGAATGATAGATAGAATGACAGAATGATAGATGACTGAAAGATAAAACGATTGAAAGAGAACGATAGATAGAAAGATAGAACGATAGAAGGACAGAAAGATAGAATGATAGAAAGAATGAACGACTGGGATGGATGGATGGATGGATAAACAGATTCATTTCTTTAAATGACATTTCAGTAAACTCCTCTTCCTGCCATGCTGATTCTACTTCCTGTCTCTTTATTAATCTGTAGTTTCTTTCAGCCTGAGCTTGTGTTTGTGTCTGTAAGAGTTAAACCCGCTCTTCTCACAGTTCCTCCAGCCGTGATGCTCTTCATCGCACTGCAGCACCAAAGACAGCGAGAAAACCAGAGCACAGAAAGCAGTGGAAGCGTCTATTTCTGTCTCCCGGCTCCCTGGGTTCAAACCGCCAGCTATTCCTGGAGCAAGAGCTACATTCCCTCCCGCCGCTACTCTCACTCTCACTTTCACTCTGGATCGGGATGATGTAGTGGATCCGGAGCGAGGCGAGGCGTGGCGTGGGAGGAGGAATCATGGAATGATTGGCGGCGAGAGATGGAAAGTGCTTCATTAGCGTGGCTGACGATCACAGGGCTGATGAAAGATCCCACCTGCCTAAGCAGATAATGAGAGTGAACGGTTCCTGCCGCAGGTGCAGTTTTGAGTGAACTTGTGGAGGAGATCCACTCTGCGGCTAACAAGAAGTGAACTCAGCTGAGGATGAGAACACAGTCTGACTGAAATGCTGATGTGGGCGGCGAGCCGTGCTGATTCAGACGCAACCGCAGTCAGATACGGAGAGAAAGTCAAAATACAATATCAATACATATTTGTTACTACACTACTGTTCAAAAGTTTTGGGTCAGTAAATTTTTTTTAAAATCAAACATCAATTTAAAGGGACAGTGCGCCTAAAGATAAAAACTGACAGCTAGAAAAAAAAAGAGAAATCTGAGGAGGCTGTAGAGCTTAAGTTTAAGTGAAATAACTCATAACTCAAATTTAAAGCGTGATATCTGGGGTTCAGCTGAAACATCCTCATTTATTCAGGACTAAATGTTACAGAAATGCGGCATCATTCCTTGGAGTGCTTTTTAGCGTCGACCTCATAAAAACTTGCACGCTAAAAGATTATGTAACGTATGATTAATGCTCGGTTCAGAGGGGATTATTCTCTAGATTAGACTCCACATCCAACCCCTAATAGAGAGCAGTCACAGTTTCATTTCTAATTCTGCGGTGCAATAGAGGTGAAAGCCGACCTTTTTACTCTGTCTGAGAGGATTATATGTTATCAGAACAAATGAACCTGCAAGTGCACTCTCTCTAACAGCTCATTATGGGTCGGAGGTCAACATCTGTGCGCGTTCACCTGATGCTGCGTGACGCACGCCGGGTGGAACCGAACGCCGGAATGCTCTGAATAGAACTGATGGTGATCGGGGCAAGTCCAACAATGACCGAAGCACTATGAGCAAACTATATAGAGATAATAATGAGATAAGATGCAGATCAGAAATTAAAGAAAGATTAAGGTGCACAAGTGCACAAGCTTATACTAGGGCTGGGCAGTATATCGCAGTGATGGCAAGAATGGGTCAATTGGTAAGGATTTTGCTAAACTGTTTCTATAGCAGTATATCTGTGGTGCAATTAAAAAAATTCTGACATGTGAAAGTGTAGGTTAAGTTTGCAACCAGAGTTTTGTTAAATACATAGTTCTGGCATGAAACTCTAGATGGCACAGTCTGATAGGTCTAACTCAATCTGACCAATATGACATCATTATCACATGGCACAGCTGATTGGTTCTCTCCTGTATCGGTAGCCAATGAGCTCGCTGCTCAACATTTAAATATATGACTAATGCTTGTCGTAGCAGTTCCAGCTTGCTTCAGAAACCCTCCACCTTCCCTAGCTCCACCTGTATAGATCTGCTATGAGGTGATTCATGTATGCTATATGGGGGTTATTTCATGTATATTTGCAGCAGCAATATTTCTTACATGCTCACAGCAGCATGTCTGCCGCAGCAGCAGTGTAGCAGATCTATTCCGCCAAGACCAAATACATTAACATTGCCATGTACATTACCATGCCAATCCCTCCGAGAGTTGTCATGACAGAACTAAAACTATTAAAAATCATTGTTGTTAACTGAAATAAAGCTGAAATAGAATATAAATGTGAGATGAAAAGCTTGAAAAAGGGATTTCTAAAAATTACTAAAACTGAAATAATAATGTTGCCTTAGCAATTAACTAAAATAAGTTTAAATTAAACCAAAAAATAAAAACTATTAAATGAAAATTAGAAATGTTGCTTCAGCAATTAAGTGAGATAAAATAAGTTTAATTTAAAGTACTAAAATGTCTAAAACAAACTAAAAAAGCTAAATATAAATATTAGAAAAACAAATAAGAACAAAAAACACAAAATTACTAAAATTCAGAATAAAAAAATAAAAACAATAAAATAATACAATAAGTGAAAGTGACGTGACATGTGGCCAAGCACACAGAGCTGCTGTTGGGATTGAGTCAGTGCAGGTGCTGACAGGTCTGTTCCTGTATCTCTACAGTTATGAAATTATTTTCAGAGGAAGAAAAAAGTTTAAGGTTTTGTCTATTGTCTAATCAAGTTTAGATAGATGGATAGACAGATATAGAACAGAATGATAAAAAGGATAGAAAGATATAATGACAGATAGACAGAATGATAGAAAGGTAGACCGATAGAATGATAGAACGGCAGAATGACAGAATGATAGAGAGAAGGATAGAAAGATTGAACAATAAAAAGATAGGGATAGATAGACAGATAGAATGATATAAAGACAGAATGCAAGAACAAAATATAGAGAGAATGACTGAATGATAGATAGAACGACAGAAAGATAGAACAACATATAGAGAGAACGACTGAATGATAACTAGATAGAATGATAGACAAAAGACAGACAGATAGAATGATAGATAAAACAATAGAATGATAGAAATATAGAATGATAGATATATAGAGAGAATGATACATTGATAGAAAGATAGAATGATAGAATAAAATAAAGAGAATGACTGAATGATAGATAGAATGACAGAATGATAGATGACTGAAAGATAAAACGATTGAAAGAGAACGATAGATAGAAAGATAGAACGATAGAAGGACAGAAAGATAGAATGATAGAAAGAATGAACGACTGGGATGGATGGATGGATGGATAAACAGATTCATTTCTTTAAATGACATTTCAGTAAACTCCTCTTCCTGCCATGCTGATTCTACTTCCTGTCTCTTTATTAATCTGTAGTTTCTTTCAGCCTGAGCTTGTGTTTGTGTCTGTAAGAGTTAAACCCGCTCTTCTCACAGTTCCTCCAGCCGTGATGCTCTTCATCGCACTGCAGCACCAAAGACAGCGAGAAAACCAGAGCACAGAAAGCAGTGGAAGCGTCTATTTCTGTCTCCCGGCTCCCTGGGTTCAAACCGCCAGCTATTCCTGGAGCAAGAGCTACATTCCCTCCCGCCGCTACTCTCACTCTCACTTTCACTCTGGATCGGGATGATGTAGTGGATCCGGAGCGAGGCGAGGCGTGGCGTGGGAGGAGGAATCATGGAATGATTGGCGGCGAGAGATGGAAAGTGCTTCATTAGCGTGGCTGACGATCACAGGGCTGATGAAAGATCCCACCTGCCTAAGCAGATAATGAGAGTGAACGGTTCCTGCCGCAGGTGCAGTTTTGAGTGAACTTGTGGAGGAGATCCACTCTGCGGCTAACAAGAAGTGAACTCAGCTGAGGATGAGAACACAGTCTGACTGAAATGCTGATGTGGGCGGCGAGCCGTGCTGATTCAGACGCAACCGCAGTCAGATACGGAGAGAAAGTCAAAATACAATATCAATACATATTTGTTACTACACTACTGTTCAAAAGTTTTGGGTCAGTAAATTTTTTTTAAAATCAAACATCAATTTAAAGGGACAGTGCGCCTAAAGATAAAAACTGACAGCTAGAAAAAAAAAGAGAAATCTGAGGAGGCTGTAGAGCTTAAGTTTAAGTGAAATAACTCATAACTCAAATTTAAAGCGTGATATCTGGGGTTCAGCTGAAACATCCTCATTTATTCAGGACTAAATGTTACAGAAATGCGGCATCATTCCTTGGAGTGCTTTTTAGCGTCGACCTCATAAAAACTTGCACGCTAAAAGATTATGTAACGTATGATTAATGCTCGGTTCAGAGGGGATTATTCTCTAGATTAGACTCCACATCCAACCCCTAATAGAGAGCAGTCACAGTTTCATTTCTAATTCTGCGGTGCAATAGAGGTGAAAGCCGACCTTTTTACTCTGTCTGAGAGGATTATATGTTATCAGAACAAATGAACCTGCAAGTGCACTCTCTCTAACAGCTCATTATGGGTCGGAGGTCAACATCTGTGCGCGTTCACCTGATGCTGCGTGACGCACGCCGGGTGGAACCGAACGCCGGAATGCTCTGAATAGAACTGATGGTGATCGGGGCAAGTCCAACAATGACCGAAGCACTATGAGCAAACTATATAGAGATAATAATGAGATAAGATGCAGATCAGAAATTAAAGAAAGATTAAGGTGCACAAGTGCACAAGCTTATACTAGGGCTGGGCAGTATATCGCAGTGATGGCAAGAATGGGTCAATTGGTAAGGATTTTGCTAAACTGTTTCTATAGCAGTATATCTGTGGTGCAATTAAAAAAATTCTGACATGTGAAAGTGTAGGTTAAGTTTGCAACCAGAGTTTTGTTAAATACATAGTTCTGGCATGAAACTCTAGATGGCACAGTCTGATAGGTCTAACTCAATCTGACCAATATGACATCATTATCACATGGCACAGCTGATTGGTTCTCTCCTGTATCGGTAGCCAATGAGCTCGCTGCTCAACATTTAAATATATGACTAATGCTTGTCGTAGCAGTTCCAGCTTGCTTCAGAAACCCTCCACCTTCCCTAGCTCCACCTGTATAGATCTGCTATGAGGTGATTCATGTATGCTATATGGGGGTTATTTCATGTATATTTGCAGCAGCAATATTTCTTACATGCTCACAGCAGCATGTCTGCCGCAGCAGCAGTGTAGCAGATCTATTCCGCCAAGACCAAATACATTAACATTGCCATGTACATTACCATGCCAATCCCTCCGAGAGTTGTCATGACAGAACTAAAACTATTAAAAATCATTGTTGTTAACTGAAATAAAGCTGAAATAGAATATAAATGTGAGATGAAAAGCTTGAAAAAGGGATTTCTAAAAATTACTAAAACTGAAATAATAATGTTGCCTTAGCAATTAACTAAAATAAGTTTAAATTAAACCAAAAAATAAAAACTATTAAATGAAAATTAGAAATGTTGCTTCAGCAATTAAGTGAGATAAAATAAGTTTAATTTAAAGTACTAAAATGTCTAAAACAAACTAAAAAAGCTAAATATAAATATTAGAAAAACAAATAAGAACAAAAAACACAAAATTACTAAAATTCAGAATAAAAAAATAAAAACAATAAAATAATACAATAAGTGAAAGTGACGTGACATGTGGCCAAGTATGGTTACCCATACTCGGAATTAGTGCTCTGCATTTATCCCATCCTAAGTGCACACACACAGCAGTGAACACACACACACCGTGAACACACACCCGGAGCAGTGGGCAGCCATTTATGCTGCGGCGCCCGGGGAGCAGTTGGGGGTTCGGTGCCTTGCTCAAGGGCACCTCAGTCGTGGTATTGAAGGTGGGAGAGAGCGCTGTACATTCACTCACCCCACCTACAATCCCTGCCGGTACGAGACTCGAACCCGCAACCTTTGGGTTACGAGTCCGACTCTCTAACCATTAGGCCACGACTTCCCCACTTCCCCACTTTCCCACGACTTAATAAAAAAATAAAATCAAATTCAACATATTAATAAATACTATGATAGACTATAAAAGATACTAAAATAACACTGGTTGCAACAGTTGTTCCTATAAAGGTTATTTTACACCAAGTATGGCTCATCCAATCATATTTATATGTTTTACTGCTTTAACTTGTTTCAGAATCTTAAAAAAAAAAAAAAAAACTTTTACTTTGCCATCCATCGAGCTCCAAAAAAACTAAATTAGATTCCTTGTAAACCATTTTATTCACTGAATAATCCAAAAATAGGTATTAGTTTGTAGTTATGTAAAACATAACATTTTTGGATTGAATTTAGGGGGAAAATGTCTATATTGCAATATACACTGTGAGCGTAATATATTATTCATATTATTAAATAAAATTACTATACTGCCCACCACCAACTCATTGTCCAGCTTACTTAAGAGAAGAATATAATCTTGCAGAATAGACTCAAACACACACTGCTAGAAAGAACAGAACATGGAGACAAACACTGCAAACGCAAACACACAGATCTGCTTCAGATCAGACACACAGTGGACGCCAAAACTTCCACCAATTAAAAAACAAGAAACGTTCAGGAAAACTATGGAAACTGTGCTTGGCGGATGTGAACAGAAAGCAAAAAAGGTATGAAAAAGAAGGGAACGAAATGAAAGTGGGTCTTACCTTGACATCGGCCTTCTTGTTGAGCAGGCTCTTGGCTGCTGTAGATGGGAAGAGAGGAAGCGCAAACATCAGCACGCTGGGATGGGAGCAACAGTCAACATTACCGGAGCGCTAATGGTGCTCGGCCAAACATGTCACATAACCGTCCAAGCCAGCTGGGGAAATCCCTCCCGCCCCACATCCAGAGGATTACAACAGTCTAACACACTACGTGTGGCGCGCATGTCCGCACACGCATCACGAGTATGCACGGTGTGGCCCACAGTCAAACCTGCTAGAATTAATCACCAAATGTGACCGAAACATCCCGTCCAGCAGTGAGGGGTTAGTGATTGCCATGCACACGCAGAGGATGTGCTGGTGCACATGCAGAAGAGTGCAATCACACACACAGACACACACACACACACACACACACACACACTAGGGATGCACCGATACCGATACTGGTATCGGGCCCGATACTGAGCTTCTGTACTCGTACTTGTTAAAATGCCCCGATACCAAACGCCTATACCACACAGCATGTGATAAGCGCCATATTCAAACAAAGAAACACCAACAACAGAACAACAGACAGCAGAATGGAGTTAAGGATGTCTACTACGAAGTATATGTATGCAATGAATATAACGTTAAACATTCAGTATTAACGACACACACACACACACACACACACGGTTACCTGACTAAATGAAGATACAGCATTGACTTCTGTTGTTTTTATATGATGCAAATTAATAGATAATAAATATCCATAAAACAAGGTAAATTTACTTGAAGAGTTAAATTGCATTAGATATTAAGATATTTTAGATTTTTCTTTGTTTTGTTTTAAGCATAAATCAGACAAAATTACCTTTGCTTTATGCTTGAAACAAGATGAAAATATAAAATAAATATATATGAAAACAGGTATTCATGTATAGGTATTAAAATGTTAATAAATGATTTTTAGTTTTTTTTTGTGTACTTTAAATAAAATAAAAAAAAAGATTACATTTTTCTTGTAAGTGTAAAACTACTGTAAAAGTAACCTAAACCCAAATTCCTAAAATAAAACCCTAAAATAAACGTTCTAGTTAGTAAATATCCATAAAACAAGATGCATTTACTTGTAAAGTCAAATTGCATTACATAAATATTCTTTATATATTTCTTTCCTTTGTTTTTAAGCATAAACCTAACAAAATTACCTGAGCTTTATGCTCAAAATAAGATAAAAATACATAATACAATATATACAAGAATGTAAATTTTTTTGTTTAGACATTTATTTTCGTCTAGATATATATATATATTTTTTAAATTTTTACTTTAATTTTTTTTTTTTTTTTGCATTTTAGTAGTATAAAACTAACCTTAATCCTAATTCTGCCCATAAAATAAACCTTTTGGGGAAAATGGGGAAAAAACAAAAACAGAGACATTTACACTACCGTTCAAAAGTTTGGGGTCTAAAAGATTGTTTTTTTTATGTTTTTGAAAGATCTCTTATGCTCACCAAGGCTGCATTTTTTTTAATAAAATTACAGTGAAACACTAAAACTGTGAAATGATATTACAATTTAAAATAACTATTTCTGTAATAACTGTATTCTATTTTAATATATTTTAAAATGTAACTTATTATATGCTGACTTGCTGCTCAAGATCAGATCAAATGCCTTTTCTGCTACTTTTAATCAATTTAATGCATCCTCGCTGAAAGAAAGTATTAATAAAAAAAATTATAATAACTGACCCCTAACATTTTAAACAGTAGTGTATATTATTCACTTCATTTATAAATCATTTTTATAACCTCCCAAAGGCAGGTTTTGTCAGATTTAGTTAACTTCTATCCCAAAGGACAGCTAAATAAACCCACAGATTCACACACACTGCCGTTAAAGCATGATACATTCAAATATTTTGTTCATGTGGCGGCAAGGACCTGCACAATGCTGCATTTTCTTGCCACAAATGAGAATGTTGAAGTTTGTCCAAGTGAATAAAAACAGTCTAAGACAACTTCTCATCACTAAAATGAAATCAAATGAAATGGAGCTGGCAAATCCTATATTAACTGCCATGGCAACACAAAGAAATATTCTTAGTGTTTCTACAGCGCTAAAGAGCCCTGACTTTATTAATCCGTGCAGATAAGAGGAAGGTGTTGTGTGGAGGGAGGGTTGAGAAAGACAGAAAAAGGAAGAGAATCTTACCTTGACACAAATGTTAGAGGCAGAGAGGAACGGAGAGAAGGAGAGATTAAGAAAGGATAGATTAAGAGAGAGAGAGATCAGCATGGGTTCATCTGGAGTGTGTTTATCTGAACGAGGGCAGGGGGTTCAAATGTGTGTTTCTTATCTAACATATAAAAAGGTTTATGTTACATTCTTTGGTTTCATTTTCTAATCGTTATCTTGTGCCATTTTCAAGCCTTTTCCTCCATGACACACTTGTAGTGACACCTAGAGGTGACAACAAACCCGATTAATCTAAAACACCTGAGACACACACACACACACACACACACACACACACACACACACACACACACACAAAACACGGCAAAGACGTGGAGGACAAATGCAGAGACGGGCATCTGTGGGGAAAAAAATTCTACAAAATAGATCAAAACAAAATATTCCGACCGCTAGGAATTATTTTAAAATTGTTAAGCAGTGCACTATGGGTAAACCAGGTCACAAGTGTTACAGATGCACTGCTGTCCAACCAAACTAAATTCAAAATGTGCTACTGTGTTATAATGATTATCAAACTAAATTTCACACAAGTATAAACTGCCTAGACTAGTCTTGGACTGAAATGAAAGTGCCTCACTTAAGGACTACTGCATGTCCATGGATTCTATTTGAATAATGCTGTTGGTTTTACTATAAATACAGGTTACCCTCAGTGTGAAAAAATGGTTACAAAACATGGTTACAGAAATATATTTTGGGGCAAAAAAATTTAAATGTAAAAAATGAATATCATCATTTACTCACCCTCGAATTGTTCTAAACCTGTATGCATTTCTTTGTTCTATTCAAAACAAGATGATATTTCGAGGAATGTGGTAACTGGTTTCAGTCCTGAAACAGTTTCGGGTCTTTTTTACTTTCATAGTATGGCCAAAAAATACTATGGAAATCAATGGGACCCAAAACCATTTGAATTCCATTGTGTGGACAAAAATACTATGGAAGTCAATGGGACCCAAAACCATTTGAATTCCATTGTATGGACAAAAAATAGTATGGAAGTCAATGGGACCCAAAATCGTTTGATTTCCCTAGCATGGACAAAAATACTATGGACGTCAATAGGACACAAAATCGTTTGAATTCCATTGTATGGACAAAAAATACTATGGACGTCAATGGGACACACACCTGTTTGACTTCCATTGAATGGACAAAAAATACAATTGAAGTCAATGGGACACAAAATCGTTTGATTTCCCTAGCATGGACAAAAATACTATGGAAGTCAAAGGGACAGAAAATAGTTTGAATTCCATTGTATGGACAAAAGATACTATGGATGTCAATGGGACACAAAATTGTTTGATTTCCCTAGCATGGACAAAAATATTATGGAAGTCAATGGGACACAAAATTGTTTGACTTCCATTGTATGGACAAAAAATACTATGGACGTCAATGGGACACAAAATTGTTTGACTACCATTGTATGGACAAAAAATACTATGAATGTCAATGGGACACAAAATTGTTTGACTACCATTGTATGGACAAAAAATACTATGGAAGTCAATGGGACACAAAATTGTTTGATTTCCCTAGCATGGACAAAAATACTATGGATGTCAATGGGACACAAAATCGTTTGATTTCCCTAGCATGGACAAAAATATTATGGAAGTCAATGGGATCCAAAACCGTTTGACTTCCATTGTATGGACAAAAAATACTATGGAAGTCAAAGGGACAGAAAACCGTTTGACTTTAATTGTACGGACAAAAATAATATGGAAGTCGATGGGACACGAAACCGTTTGGTTACCCACATTCTTCAAAATATTTTCCATGTTCTAAAAAAGAAATTAATGTATGTCATACAGGTTTGGAACGACATTGAGCGTGAGTAAATGATAACAGAATTTTCATTTTTGAACGGACCACCTAGAAAATAAGCTGTGGCAATCAACAGTCCACAGACATTAAGCTCAAAATATGCTAATAATATTCACTGAAAACCTGCTGCATGGATGCTGCAACCAGCCAAGAGTAAAAGTGCCAGATCACTGCAAACAATCCTAGAATTTAGTGCTGAAAGGACATTGAACCCCCTTTCCTGAACACACAGGTTTAAGACACATGCACTCGGATCAGATCGGATCAGATCATATCAGGCTTCTCCTGCATCAGGAGACATGCGTGTGCTCTCGTGCAACGTTCAGTCATCAGCAGGCAGGCAAGAGAAAGAGAGAAACCTACAATTAAGAGATCTTACACAAAAAAGAAACCCAAGGGAGGAAGAAAGAGGCAGAACACTGAATGACAAATCTGCAAATGGATGGATGGAGCAAGCAGAGACGTGGAGGAGAGAGAATGAGTGCAAAAAGAAATCAGAAGAGATAGAAGGAGAGAGAGAGAATAAAGGGACCCTGATGGAAAATCCAGCTAAAACCAACTGCTGACATCGGCACTTTAAATCTGACTGGCCGCCTGCTGCACTATTTATATTCAGGATACATTGATTTTAGATTTACCTGGATATAATCACATTAAAACAAAATGAACTGTGGTTGGTCACTTTAAATCGGAGTCAGATGGTCTAAATCTGCAGTCACACTAGACTTCATGCTCCATTCACTTCTATTCATATGCATGTGAGACCAGAAACAATGAAAATTCAGCTTATACAACACTAGACCTTCTACAGATAATCAACAGAGACTATACTGGTCTAACCTTGGCATTTAATGACATTCGTTGGTATAGATGGATTGTGGGGCCTGGTTTTGATCTGGTAGACGATTATGGTCAAGCTGGTAAGATTTGGTAACCGCTTTAGACAACAAACCAGCAACCACATTTGAAAAAAACCCAGCTTGACCGCCTTAAACTGATATGACCTGGTTTTTCCAGCAGGGGAGAGAAAAACACTGACTGCGATTTGCAACAAAATGACATGAAGTCATTTATTTTCATTACAATCTGTCAATTTAACAATGCAACAAAGCATAAACGTTTTTTGTTTTTGTTTTTTACTTTATGCAAATAGAGCAGCAACTACCAATAGAAGTGAGCAATTTTACAGTTTCATTTGTTTCAAATGCATTTAGCTGATACTTTTATCAAACACAACTTCAGGTAAGTAGTCCCTAACCGGGGGCAAACGTCAATATGATTGATGACTTTGATCTTTGTCAAAGTCATCAACTCAGGTACACACTAGTGTTTATGGATATGTTTATTTAATAAACAAAACATTTCTTATTATTATCAATGTTTAAAACAATTGTGCTGCTTCATATTTTTGTGGCAACAGATCAATTTTTTTTTACAGGATTCTTTGATGAATATAATTTTCAAAAGAACAGCATTTATTTGAAATAGAAATCTTTTGCAACATTATAAATGTATTTACTGTCACTTTTGATCAATTTAATGTGTCCAAGCTGAATAAACATATTTAAAAAATATTTAAAATATGGTAGAGTATATCAAAGGTATATATTTTATTAAATGACGCATTCCTTAAAAATTGAACCCATGCACAGCTGATCTAATACAAACTGTGCATTTTAAATAAGTTAGTTTCATGCAATAATAATTCTTAATCTCGTTCATGATTTAATGTATTATGCACAGCTGCAATTACAACACTTTCTTCTCCAGAATTCAAATTTTCAGCTGCGGGTCCATTTATGATCCGATATTAACAAACTATGGCTGGTTACACATCTCAGGGCTATATGAACAACCCGACCTGCAGCGATGCATATCACAGTCAGTGTGAACAAGGCTTTATGAAAACTGCAAGAGAGAGAGATAAAGAGGGAAAAGAGAGATACTGTAGAACTGAAGGACTAAAGAAAAAGAGATCTAACGGCCATTCCCAAAGTCAGCCAGCGGCATCTGCAGTGCTGAACACGAGACCGCTGTAACCTTGTCATGCTCCAAGCTCCATGCTGAATATGAATCATGAGAAGGAGAACATGAAGCAGAGAGGATGGATGGATGGATGGATGGAGGATTGGGTGAGACGTGAGGGGACGAGGGCTACCTTGTTCCACTAGACTGGTGGTGGTACCGGCCGCAGCAGCGGCTGCAGAGACGGTGGCGGGTGCCGTGGTCTGCCTGCCCACTGCCAGACACACACAGACAGACACACACATATGCCCATCGTGCCATAGACTACTGGTTCTCAACTGGTTTAGCCAGCACAGTACCAACACTGTTTAGAGTGCACAAAAATAAACAAAAATGTCCTAAACGCATCTATGGCCTATGAAGCCAGTTCCACACCGTGTCCTAACCAGATACAGTATGACAAAAGGCAACTTTTCCATGTTAATCAGAGTTCAATCTGTTTTTGTCCTAACCAGCTGCTGGAGCAACAGCATACAAACTATTTACAATGATAATCTCAGGTACTGATTATGTACTATTAAAAGCATCTAAGGTGATTTTGAATATCATTCTGTGTGACCTTTATAACAAATCCTGCTGTCGCAGACGTATCAGTCTTGAAACATGGATTTTTGAGTCATGAATTTTCTTTTTAGAAAGTGCTAGTTTAAAAATGCTAAAAAAAAAATGTTGTAAAGTATTATTAAATATTTTGAATTACTGTATCTAAACATTAGATTACTTCCATGCTCTCGATTGAATAATTTTAAACTTTTAAGTTTAACTGATAGAGTGAAGACTATGTAGTGTTTTATTTTACATTGAATTACTTTTTTAAATTATTGTGGTATTTCTTACAATCTAATACTACTGTTATGATTAACTTACCTGAAAACAAAGTACTGTTTATTCCATATGTATCTTTCTTCTTTTGCAGTTATTTGTCCTGTTGCTTGTCATTTGTTCATATTTTATGACTGGTTTCTTGTTTACTTCAATAATTGTTTTAAAACTTTTTAATTATATTAGGCGAAATTGATATCAAAAATTGGATTCTAAACATAAAATCTTACCATAACTTTATTTCTAGCAAAAATAACTATAATATAAAAGATTTTGGTCACCCCAACCATGAATTTGGTTATAAAGAGAGAGAGAGAAAAAAACAGAATCAAATCTCAAATTTCAATTAATTTAAATTGAATCAAACTAAGATCTCATTGTGAATTTCATCGTTCTGCAAAAATCTTTCCTGAATCAAATCAAAAACCTAGGAATTACAGTATGAATTGATTCACTGTCTACCCAAATATTTGTTATATTTAATTTATATTAATGATATCCTTATTATATCAACTTTTAATTTAAATAAATATAAATACAGGTTTTAGAATATATAAAAATTTAAAACAGCTACAACTTACGCGTTTCCTTTTATGCTCTTTGTGAAATTATATAAATGATGAATTAAATTCAATTAATTCACTTGCATTAATATAGATATTTTCTTTCAGCTGCCTTCTCAAACTCAGACAGCTGTGATGTTTTTCCTTCTCTTCTAAATTTATTTAAATGTATTATATTTTTCAATGGTCTCTTAACCTCTCTCATGAGAAATGAATCAAACTGAGGCTCTCCACATTTTGTGATTGGCTGTTTGCCGCTGATGTCACACTTACAGGTGCACAAGCTCTGGAGTTAATCATAATCATAAACTCATAAAATAAAACTAAACCAGGTTGGATTTGGTTGTTTTTGTCAACTCTGAAACTCAGAGTAGGTGATATGCAACCTGTCCATGCTGACTAATTTGTCAACCTGTCTAATTTTAACTTCTACCAAGTGACAGATGAATTTACACCAAAACGCCGCAGACATACAGCCTTTTATATTCGATTCAATTTTAGGTCACGGCCCACCAGTTGAGAACCACTGCTGTAGACATTGAGAGAGAAACCAAAGGATAGAGCAGTCTGTTAGCGTGAAGAGAGTTAGCTGGAAACATAAGCCGCTGTCTGCAACCAGAAAGGGATCTTGAGAGTCCATTACAGTAGTTGGTGTAATCATATAATAAGGTTTCCCCTGTCACTCTGGAATAAAGAAAAGGCTCATTTTCTTGTCAAGCGCTCCTCGGTGAGCCGCTTTCTCCTTTCAGCGGGAAACGTGTCACTTTCGCCAGCGCCAATCTATGCTACGGCAAAACAGAACAAAGCATTTATTTGGGGGTTGAAGTTTTGGCGTTGTGAGAAGGCAGTAGAAATACAGAGGGAAAAAGTGTTAGAATGAAAGAGAAGACATAAACATAAAAAAAGCTCTCATCAGACATTTAAGGGGCTATATTGTAGAAAACATGAATTTACTTGTTTGAATTTAGTAATGTCAATCTGCAATAACATTCACCCATATTTACTCTATTCAAACAAGCATACAATATACTCTGATTCATGAACAAATGACTCTTATGAACTGTTTTTTTTTTAATGATTCAGTCAAGAAGACTCATTGAGTTTGAATCAGTCTAACGAGTTAGAAAGATACACGTTAACAAAACAGTTCAAAATGGCATTTTAACGTAACAAAAAAAAAAGGTACCAAGGAATATTTGTTGACTATAACTGCATTAATAATAGGACTTGGCAATTTCATAGTAGAAAACAAATAATATAATTAATATAATATAATATAATATAATATAATTAGTGCTGTCAAACGATTAATC